CATCTCTGGACCTCAGTCTCCTCATTTCAGAAAACTTGTCTATTATAAGCCCCTTCTGGCAGTTGCCCCAATTCATGAGGATGAATCAGCCAGTGAGGTGAGAGCACTGAGCATCTGTCTTACACAGAAAGGGCTGTCATGGGTCTAGACCAAGGCAGCTCCACCTCTGTGCAGACTCATAACTTGATACCACCCCCCCCAAGCTCATATTTATTGAATATGTGCTTAACAATCATTAAGCAATAGAGTTGCTTGATAGTGACAATTATTGAGCAATATCAGGAAAAGGCTGAATCTTGCATGGAGGAAATGTGAGGAAAGAGCCCACCCACCAGTACAGCACTCGGGTTCTTGGGCACAGCCACCGACAATTCAGCCCAACCCAACTCGCTCTCTCGCTCTGCGGAACAAGTTCTACAGAGACTCAGTTTTCTTCTCCTGGGAAGACCATTTAGTGGCCATCTGGGGTTTCAAGCTCTCTGGGGAGAGTTCGCTCTCCATTGGTCCCCTCATCAAAATACTTCTTCCCACAACATTTTGACAAACAATGTTTTCTCTAACTTGTATTTCCAGTAATGTTTACTGCCCCTAAATTGTTACTAGGCTCTGACTGGCTGGCTCAGCACTTAACAAGACCCCAGGCATTTTGTGAGTATAATTCTCCGTCCTCTTCGCTTGCATTTTATAAATTGAGGAGATCAGACACACAGAGCCCCTCGCCATTCCACAGACATGGCATTATCCCATTTCACACGTGTGTACCTATATGTTCTTCCTCCCACTTCTCTAGGTGAAATTTGTGATTATCCTTGAAAACTCAACCCTGATATCTTTTCCACTGAAAATTTCTTGCACTCCTCTCCCAAGCACCCCAGAAGCTGTTGTCTCTCCTCTGAACTCTTGGGTACCTTATACACACTTCTGTTGCAGAATTTACCATGTTGATAACAAGGAGCCCTGAGTTATGCAGTCCTTGTGAGTACACATGCTGTCTGTCAACTGAATACTGCATTACTCATCTCTGTGCCACACAGCGCCTGCACACAGTGTGTCCAAAATTATATACTTTTGTAATGGATAAATGCGTGTGTGTGCACGTGTGTCTCAGCATGATTTTTGCTCTAAATTTCCTTACCATTGTTTAATTGTTCTACCACATAGCAATCAGTTAAAATGATTGTTACCTTTGAAGTGGCATTTTTTTTCCTGTTTTGAGGAATTGGGTTTTTTTGCATGTTAAAACAAAAGCTTCATAAGGACAAGAAATTAAACTTTTCACAAGCACAATCAGACTAATGGGTGGGTATTACGGGGTGGCTGATATTCTATTAATATGTAGCAGAGCCTTTTGGCTGGGGGGGCTAGGGCCCAGGTACACATCCTAGACTCCTCCACAATTCCTTCTCCTCCTTCCTCCAGTATCTGTTTATAGCCATTGATAGATGTGAAATAGTCTGTTTGTGAACTGGAGAAGAATGAGAAACTCAGGTTCGAGAAAGATAAGGCAACGATGGGGAGGGAGAAGAATGAAGTCGCCCTGTATTTGCTCATAGTTCTTTTTGTAACAAATTATAATTGCTTTTATTGCCTGTTCCTGTTCTAAATTATACACAACTTGATGGTGGCAGTTTCCTTATTCATTTCTGTATTATCAGTGTCTGCAACATGGCATGTATTTAACAAATATTAATTAAAGAAAGATTTACTTTTTTCACACTGTTTATTTTCCAAATGCCCGATGTCAATGTTATGGGTTTTTAGGTGGGGGCAGCGTAGTCAGTAGAGCATCCCCTAAGATCTTTCTAGAGTTACATGGAGTTGAATGTCTCTGACGTCACCAAGAATAGTGATTTATTTATGGCTAACTCATGATATTCATGTATACACAGAATGAGCCTGTCAGCAGGAGGGGCGGTCAGCCAGCATTGCAGACAAATGTCCAGGACCATGCACCTCTCCTTATGCTAATTCCATGCTCTGTCACAGCAGCCTTGGCATTCATTGATTTTGGTCCCCCTGCCTCCTTAGTTCCAGTGACAGTTACTATTCTTATTCCAGTGGTGAGGGTAGCACTTGACTCCTTAGCTCTTGGGACCAAACACACTGGGCTTTATTTTTCCCTGGGCACTTTGCCAGGCTCAAGGATGCTACAGTCAGAGGCAACAAAATTTTAGATTGACTTCTAGAAAAGGAACTCACTATTTATCTCCAGTGTTTAGTTTGAGGTCTGAAGCAGCAGCCTCTACTACTTTTTGTGTCTAATGGGGAATGCTTATCTGAGGAAGGAACCAACATGGAGGAAGGCAGAGCCGAGAGATAAAGACAAATTGACCAGGTCCTGTCCTTGATCAAGCCTTGCCTGAAAATAATCTTTTGAAATAACTAGTTACATGAGACAGTTGCTTAAGTCATTCTGAATCAGGATTCCTGCTATTTGCAACTGAAAGAGTCCCAACTGAGGTATTCATAAACCTTCTGATTATTATTGTGGCTTTCCTGAATCTGGAGAATGTCTTGGGTAAGAAACACAAAGGTCTGCTTGTTAAAATGAAACCTTTATTGTGAATCAATATATTGTTATTCTCCTGGTAATTTAATCAGTGTCAGGCTACCACTCATGTTTGACCATCTCTGAGTAGGCTGAGGATATTTTTCTTCTGCATCTCCAAGGCTGTGGCCCAATACCTGGACTTCAGGAAATTTGCCAAAGGAGTCTTTCCTTGTGACAGTGTCCCTCTGGCCTATAGCCACAAAAGGTGCAAATATATATATATATATATATATATATATATATATATATTCATACACACATATGCACATGCATGTGTTTGTGTGTGCAGTTGTTCTCCTATGATAAGTGCACTTGAATCATTATTTTAAGCTTAACTTTGCAACATAAGCAACATCTATATTTGTATGAAAGTTTTATGGACATTATTTTAAAGCCCAAGTTCTGGGGCCGGCCCCGTGGCTTAGCGGTTAAGTGTGTGCGCTCTGCTGCTGGCGGCCCGGGTTCGGATACTGGGTGCGCACCGACGCACTGCTTCTCTGGCCATGCTGAGGCCGCATCCCACATACAGCAACTAGAAGGATGTGCAGCTATGACATACAACTATCTACTGGGGCTTTGGGGGAAAAATAAATAAAATTATTAAAATAAATTATTAAATTTATTTTAAATTTAAATTAAAAATTATTAAAGCCCAAGTTCTAGTTCATAAAGTATTGTGCTTTGGTCTCCCTGGCTTGGCCCTGGAAGTCGCCTCCATGAGCAGCCCAGTGAATACAGCCTCCACAACTCAGGCCTATGGATCCTTTGGACCATCCTGAGGGGCTGGCCTGTCATCAAGGTGCTCTACTGAACCCGGATAATTTTTACATCTTGTGGAAAAGAGACACAGCACAGCTCCAAAACTTACAGGCTTAAAGACACGTTTTCAGAATCCTTTACACCCAAGGAATCCATTTCATGTTTCTTCTTTCTGAATGGTCGATGGGCAGCCATATTGGCAGAAAGATCTTCTGTAGGTTGGGTCTATTTGACACTACAACATCTGCACAAAAGATGAAAAATCACCTGAGCTTTCAAATGATGGTCTTTGATGCCAAGGATCCAGATGTATTATCTGCAAACCTGGAGCAATAAGACTGGATTTTTTTCCTTTTTGACTTGACTATTTGGTACTTTAAAAATTACCCCAGAAGCACAGAAGTCAGGTGGTCAGACTCCTCCACTTCTCTTCTTCTTGTGGGTGGGCTTTTTCCATTATTAACATTCCTTCATTGACTCCAACTGAGCCCAGAAACCGTCAAGCTGAAATACTACAAGCAAAACTGGTCTCACACTTTCCTCTTATTTAATGGAAAGCTTCGAAAGTTAAAGATCTGTAACTACCTCCCAACCCAGAAAGTTCAAATATGTTCTTTGGCTTTGGATTGTCATTGTTGGTGTTGGTATTGAGCTCAAAGCAAAAGTCTTTGAGCTGACTAAAATTTTATTGTCAGTATTTGTACAATTTTTGAAAGCACTTACTGGACAAATCTTGTGGCCAGGCACTGTGCTAAGCTCCTCAAAGATGAATAAGTCGAGGTCCCTGCTGTCAAAGAGCTCACTATACTGGGGCATACAACAATTAGTTTCATAAGAGGCAGAATGAAATAAGTGCTTAAAAGAGGCAAACACAAAGTGTGTGGGAGCTCAGGGGAAGAGGCACAAATTCTGACTGCAAAAATCAAGGGAGGCCTCTCCAAGGTAGTGTTTTTTTGTGTGTTAAGTCCTAAAGGACTTCAGAGAACAGGGAGAGTAAGGAAAACTGAAAATCTAGGGGATGCCATGAACGAAACGTGGCAATGTAAAAAGAGATTGTAGATGTAAGCGTGAGAGGGCAACAAACCCAGATGATCCTAAAGTTCATGTCAAGCAAGAACAGCTTAGAGAAAACCCATCCTCAGTCCAAGTATATGTGAATTTTGGGAGATGTGTAGGCAGGAGAAGGAGGAGGCATCTCTGGACCTTCCCTAAGCCTCCAGGATCCTTTTCCCCCCACAACCTAAGACACATATGCACTTGCCCATAGACACTCATTTTTTCCACAATATTAAAATACTTGGGCTTCCTTGGACATTCACTGGTCATTCGTGTATTCAAGTTTTGTGTATTCCATTTTTCCTTGCCTGCAATGCCTTCTTTTTCTACCCCTTACACTGGGTTGATATACTCTTATAATTCAACTCAAGATCAAGTTCTAGGAAACTAGTTATTTTTCAACAATTACCTTCTTCTATATTGTTGTTTTTAGTGCCATCGAGTTGATTTTGACTCCTAGCTACACTGTGTACAGCAGAGCAGAGCTCTGCTCTTTTTTTGCATCATCCTTCCACCTTCTGATGCTCTATCAGACAATGCTCCACTGCTATTCATCGGGTTGTCATGGCCAATTTTTTCAGACGTGAGCGGCCAGGTCCTTCTTCCTAGTCTGTCTTAGTCTGAACGGTCCACTGAGATCTGTCCACCAGGCGTGACCCTGCTGGTATTTGAAATACTGGCAGCATAGCTTTCAACGTCACAGCCGTACAAAGCTGCCAGTAGGACAACTGACAGATGAGTAGTGTGGTTCCCTGACTGGGAAATGAACCTGGGGTGTGGTGGTGAGAGTGCTGGATCTTAACCACTAGAGCACCAGGGCTGGCTGGCTTCTTCTGTATTCTCATGAATCTATTATATTAGGATCCTTCTGATTGTAAGCGACAGAAACCTGACTCATACTTGCATATTCATAAGAGGGGAATTGTTGGCTTCCATAACTAGGATAAGGAGATGATGGAGATTATTTTAAGGTTTAAATGTTATAATTAGGGCATTGGTGTACTTGCTCTCTCTCTCTCCATTTCAGCTTTGCTTACCCCAGCTTCAATCTCAGCAGATCTTTGTGTGGAGGCAAGTTGGTCCTTGGCAATGCTGAGTCTTCGTTGTCTTTACAAATCACAATCCTGAAGAAGAGATACTTTCTCTCTTTCAGTGTATATATGCTAAATCTCATGGTGGGGCCTTGGTAGATTTTTATGTCCAAATTTAAATAACCTTTGTAGTCAGGGGTACAGATTTTCTTCTTATCTTCACCCAAGCCACATAGAATGGATTCCCTATAAGAAAGAGAGCTGTTATCAGGAGAAAGGTGAAAGACAAGCTGGATAAGCAAAAGAAAATAAAACGACAAACAAAATACCCATATTACCAGTCTACTCTTTAATATTTATCACACTAACTTAATGGTTGGTTCGCTCGTCAGTCTCCTCCACAAACTGTAATCCTTGATGTCAGTGATGGGAGCCTATGCATCCCTGTAGTAGAGAACCAGCCACACATGAGTAAGGGCTCAGTAAGGATGGTTGAATGAGTGAGTTAGTCAATGAATGAGAGAGTGAATGAATAAACACACTAGTGAAATAGATGGGTCAGGTAATGTCATTTCCATCTTATAGTTTTACTCCATCATTTCTAGCCTGGACTACTTTAGTAGGTTTTAATTAATCTTCATATCACCAGTCTTGGCCTCCTCTAATCCATTCTTTACACAGCAACCAAATTGATAATTTAAAAAATGCAAATATTATCATTTTATTCCTCTGCTTAAAGCCTTTCCTTACATTTGGGATACTGAGCAAACATTTTTGCAGGCCTTCTAAAGACCTTTATGATCTGGGTTTTTGTCTGCTTTTCTAGCCCCATGTCTTGCTATTCTCAACACTTCTGACACCGCCCCCATGCCCCTATCCCATATTCCTAACCCCAATGCATGTGTGCTTTATATTTCAGTCATTTTTAATAACTTTTATTTCTTCAAAGGCGTCAAGCTCTTTTTTGCTCTCTAGTGTTCGTTTTATCCCCCTGGGGGGCTCTTTCTCTCCCCTCCCTCTTCACCTGGCTAATTTCAACTTATACTTCTGAGTCCAGCTTACACATCCCCTGACAAATGAGAATTTCTTGGACTTCTAACTATTGTCCCTCTTATGTGATCCTGCAGGGCCTTTAATGCAATTTAAAGAGTTGTGGTTTTATGCTGTGGGCTCAGGGGAACTGTGGAAGAGTCTCCAGCAGCAGAAGAGGAAACAAAGTCTAGACAGGAGGAAAGCTATAGAGATGCTCCCATAAGCCAGTTCATCTGCCTTCTCTTTGCTTTATAGATACCACCAATCAGTATGTTGAATCTCATAAAGATGTTTATGATTATAGAATAGGCCAAAGAGCTAAAAGATTAAGGAAAATTCCAATGTTTCATTTGGATATTTTAACAACATAAAAAATTTGGGAGAAACAAAAATGGTCAGCTCCGGCAAAATGGGGACTTTTGGAAAGTTTTCTCTTCTCCAAAATGCTTATCCTCCTCACACTAAGGTGTATAAAAGATCTCTGAGTGTGAGTCCATTGAATTTCATTACCGGAGAGGACAATCTGTGGTCAGAAATCTAGCAAATTGAATCAAATCAATCTATTAAACAATAGAGGTAGGGAGGATATCGGGGTAATATGGATTGTGCCCCTTTTTCATAGATGGGAAAACTCAGAAAGGTGACGTGCCCAGTGTTAAACAGTCATGTTATGCTTATTAATCTCTCAATGTAAAATAGTGAAAAGAAAAATTTAAGGCAAAATGCCAGTGAGTTTGGTTTATTATAATGAAGCTTTTCCTCTACTCTCTTTCTTGCAATTTTATTGAATTTCTATAATTTGTGGGGCACCACAATAGATCCTGAGGATATAGAAATCTAGATGGTGACAGCCCTTCAGAAACATATTCACAGAACTATCCCTATATCAGTACTGAGTTCGTTGAGTTTCCTTGGAATGTGAGAGAGATACACTCAAACAATGTCAAACTGCCACCTCCCCCTGAAGCTGCCAGCTGATGTCAAGTCACATGAAAATCAGGTGGATGGGACTTTCTGAAAATATCACCACTTGTAAATTGGCTTTGGTGTCTATTCGCTGTAAGGCGTTCCAGTGCTGCAGAGCTGAACTGGGTCCAAAGGATCACATGTTGAGTTGCACATGGCCCAACACAGTTCATCAAGGAAAGAGACCATTTCTCTCTTAGACCACAGAGGCCTGTCCAAGGGTTACTTGTTGCCCCTGGGGCAGTTCCTTGCAAGATATCTCATGGGGTGAGTGAGGTTCCTCCTCCTACTGGCCCCTTATATTACAGCAGCTCCCAGTGTAGGAAAGGAGAAGCAAATACATTCTAAAGGAACAAAAGACTTTCCAGAGAGAAGATCATATCACACAGATGTGACTCTTCACCTAACTCCTGTTCCTCACTCAAAAGTTCCTCCTCCTGTCCCTCCAACACCCAGCCAGCCACCCCTACTCTCCAGCTTGGTAGCCTAGTAACACCCTTGGCTTTGTCCATATCCAGAACTCCTTCTCTGGCAGGTGTTGGGTAGAGGGTGTTGGAACTTTCCTGGAGACCAATGTCACTAATCATATCAAGGAGAACATCTCTGGTTGCAGAGTAACTGCTAAATGATTTTAAACTTGCCTGTTGTTGGAATTTCAAGAGAAGATCCCATGATAGTTCACTTAGTTGCATTTGCCTATAGGATTTATTTATTTAGTTGCTTCCTTCGTTCAACAACAGTTTACTAAATCCTACTGTGTGCCAGACATATCCAGAAAGGGCAGCTCATTCTTTTACTCATCTTGGAGCTCTATGTGCCATCATGGAGATTGGCTTCTACGGACAGACACACAATAAGTAAGAACATTGCCGTCTTTCATCAAATCAAAAATATTATTGATTGTAATTTGCACCACTATTTTATGGGTCACTAAGAAAGAAATAGATGCCGAAAAAACTAAGATGTGTTGTAGTAGATACTTGTGATCCTTCCTGCCACCTGATGTCAGTGCAGCTGTGGTGGGTCACACCTGCATTTGTCAGAGGCCTATGTCCCCTGTTCTCCATGGTGATTTTTTTGTCTGCTTGGCTTCTTGGATGCTGAGAAAGGCTGTTCAGCCAAGACCACAGACATAACCCTGAAGTTGGGGAGTTAGTGACATGAGGGTGTGGGTATTGGTGTTTAGTGCCTCAAACCCAACCCTGTTCCTCAGGGGAACCCAAACCAAGACTCGCCATCAATTGTAAGATACATCTTGATTTCAAAAATGTTAAAACATAAAAATTGTCCTCTTAGAAATGACAAAATATGGTAAATAGTGTTAGTAATTGGTTCTTAGAGACCAATCAGGAGGCTAGTGCAGATTCGGACAAGAGGTGAGGGCAACTTGGGCCAGAGTAGTAACAGGGAAAGTAGTGAGGGGTGGTCAGAGTCTGTAAACGTCTTCAAGGTAGAACAGAGAGCATTTTCTCATAGATTGCATGTGGGAAATGAAAGAAAGAGGAGTCAAGGATGACTCCAAGGTCACTATTTTTATTATATTTCTGTGTTCGCTTCAAAATGGGTCACATGACCCTCTGCACACACATACAGGTACACACCTTCGTAGGCTTCCAGAACATTCTGTACTTTTCTGGATCACAGTTCATAAAGCCTCCCTGTGTCTCAGTTTCCTTTTCCTTAAAACAGAGATGGTATTAATAATGCAGACCTCATGGGGTTTTTGTGAGGATTAAAATAGATAATATATGTAAACTAGGTATTACATGATAGGTACTTTTCAATACATGCCTCAATATTGCTTCAATAAATGTTAGTTATTATTTCTATTATTTTGTTTTATTATTCTCACCTTCAAAATTGTCTATGTGCATGCCTCTGGATGCCAAGTGTTGGGGAGGTGGGCTCTCAGCCATCTGCTTGTGCCAGGCTGGCCTCTATCCACCCACTTCTTGGCAGCCACACTTGGCAAGGAGGAGGAAGAATTGGATTGGTCAGAACCCAAGACAAACACTGGGTGACCTTGCACCAGGGGTCAGGGCTCCTCCGCCATAAGGGCAGGAGCTCATGCGTTCCTCTTTCTTGCCCTTCCTCTTCTTGTGTCCTCATGCAAAGTAAGCAGACCTAGGCAGGGCCTGTTTCCTTGGGCCAGATCTGGCAAAGGTGCTCTCTTTTCTGGGTCCCTTGTAAATGAAGGAAAGAGGAAGGATTCAGAGTCCTCTGTCCACCAAACCATCTCTCTTTGGCTGTCTTGCTCAAGTACCACAGTTCTGAGAAGACATTGAAGGATGCGTCCCAGGCACATTCTATTAGGAGTTCATGTTGAACTCCCAAAACATCTCTCCCTTCTGCACATGTCAGGGCTTCTGCCTGCCTTGCCTCCCTCCTCCTGCCTAGTGTCTTCCTAACAAATTCTTCTCACATTTCTGTGTCCATCCAGAAAACTTAAGCTGGAGCATTTTCTCTTTAACACGTAGAAGGGATGAGCAGGGGCCTCTCTGTCAAGCACACTCAGTGTTGCAGACTTTAGTTGTGTTTTTCACATCCCCACTCACTCTCTTCCTTGATCCTTTGTTTCATTCCTTTAAGTGATTGGGTTTTTTATCCTAGAGAGAAAAAGTAAACTCGATCTGAGTCTCAAACGAGTTCAGCCTTGCTTTGCTTCTTAAATGGAAAGACCATGGAGATAGGGCAGCATTGGAAAAGCTTAGCTGATCAGTAGGCAAAGGGACAAATGACAAAGAAAGGAGTTTTAAAACAAAATGTCTCTGCTTGTGTGGATGGGGCAGCATTGGATGACCCCAGCTCCATAGTGGCAGAAAGTTTCATAAGTCAGGCTGACTAGTTTACAGCTGAAAGATGCTGGCTCTGCCTGGCTGGTAGTCATGTCAGGAAAGCTCAATAAAGGCTGAATGAGTTAGTTATGGGATGTGTGGGGCATTAGTTTAAGAGTCCACTATTATAAAAGCTCTGTATTAAGTGTTTGAGGGCCTACTTGGATGAATAAGACACAGTTCCTTACCGTCTCTCCAGAAATAACTTTCCATCTAGGAGGGGAGACAAGGTGTATCTTAGTGCAGGTCCACTCTGAATATCTCTCTGATCCCCCTTCATTGGGTGATAGCAGCTCTACGTATGGGACAGCAGAAGCATTGTCCAAGTGGGGTGAACTGTGGGACCTATATTGAAATCGGGGATATTGCCCAGATTGGCAAGAATTAGCCCCAGACTGGAGTGAATGCTGGTGATCACTCTGATGAGGACAGTATAGGGTGAAATTGTCAAAAGAACTCTCTATCCCATAGAGTTCTCTCTCCCCCTTGCTTCCCATTCACATCTCTCTCATTGCTTTTTCCCAGGTATCTTTTTCCAGAACCTTCCACCAGCATGGGGATAGGGACATGGGGATGTCCCTAGCAGGTGGAGGCCCACTTAACTTCCGTGGGCCTTAGTTTCCTTACATATAAAATAGGATAGTGGAAGGACTTGGAATGCATAAGTGTTCAGAGCTCTCCCTGCCTTGACATCTTGTGAACCAAAGCCATCTTTTCTTTCTTCATGCCTCCAGGCATATGATGTCTAAACATTTTCTGTGTTCTGGCTAAAATCTGCTAGACAGAGATGCCAGACTTTTCTTCAGTAGCCCATTCTAGATTTATGTTTACTTCCCTGCTCTGAGAAAGTCAAGTAGTTCTTCCCCATGTTTAATTAAGATCTCTCTTGTAGGCAATTTCCTCCTGAGTAGATCTCAGGAATGTAGAGAACAATAACTAAATGCCTTTTTCATATAGAACATTTATATGCTCACATATACAAGTTAATTTTCTTTTACAACCCTATATTTAGCCCCATTTGGGTCTCATTTCCATGCATTTGCATGTTAATATTCATACTTATGTAGATATATTCCTGGATTCAATAGAAAAGACTATCCCACACAGAAGGTTGGAAATGACAATTTATTCACAGAACTTGATCCTAAGATTCAGGAGAAGTTCACTGGGCAGGATTGCCAAATTAAATACCAAGCTGCTTTTTCTGTACTGTGTGAAAATGGTTATGAATTATATTTTCTCATTTGTCTTCTGCCAAAAGGAGAGCAGAGGTAGAAGCCACATGTGGAAGACGTTCCTTGGCAAGACAGTTCTGAAGAATGACATAAGGTCTGTAAGATGTGATAGGCATCTGGGAGGAAATGGGCCACCTGGGTGCCAGAAATGTCAGTCCTTTGCCATGTGGATGCCATTCTGAAAATGTATTGTCACTGGCAGCCACCACTGGTCCTTTCTGATATATGGCTTCTCTGTCTAGAACTTGAACAAAAAGAAGCTAGAGAGGTCTGGTTTTAGGATATCCACAGCTCTCACGATACCTGGGAGTTAGGTCCCAAGACTGGAAAAGCTAATATTTATCAACTATTTATCATGAGCTTAGTGATGTACTGGTACTTTAGATGTTGCCTTGCTGCCTTTTAAAAATGGCCCTTTTAAACAGATATGATTGTTTCCATTTTTCAGATAAAGATATTGAGGTTGAGAGAGGATAAGTGGCTTTGCCAGGCCAAGTAGATGGCAGAACGAAGTATTCAAATTAGATCTGTATGATCTCAAAGCTCATATTTCATTCTGCTTAATAGGATCCCAGTAGTTTGAAATGAAGAATATCTTGAATGCCTTTGAGATGAAGAGTTTTGAATAACCTCTCTGATTATTCTCTTCGGCTAAGCCTTGCTCAAGATTAATGTTTAAACAGCTTGTCTTAGTTTTGTTCCACTAGAAAACAAAAACTGAAGTTGGAATTGCATGTTAAGGCTGTAGTGAGAGGTACAATACAAGGATAGTTAGAAAGAGGGTAAAGGGAAATTGAGACATGTATGGAGGGAAAGCAAATGCAAGAAGGTCCATTACCGAACTGGCCACAGGTTCACAGGAAAACACAGGTCATAATTGGCACAAGGAACATCTTTAGCAGGCTAAATGTCTGGCACTTCACCTTGTAGCAGTCAGTCAGGGGAAGGGAGAGGAATGTTTATCTCCCAGCTCCTTCCCATCTTCTTTCTTACCACATTTGTCCTATAGGGTATTAGGTTAGCTCATTTGCACTTCTAGGTGATGTTGCCTTACCTCTACAGGCAGCCAATGAGAAAGCCAGACCCATGTCTCATCGTGAGGTCTTGCACCTGAAATCAGAAGTGGCAGGAAGAGTCAGACAATCTATGGGTCCAATTGGGTTGGACCTGGATGTTGTAAGTACAGTGATGGGCATCACAGAGGACACACCTAAGCCCAACCCTCAGCCAGGTAAGGATGAGACATCTAGAAGCATTAGGAGGTGAGATGACAGGAGCTAGTGTCCTAAATTTGGGGACGGGTGAAGCCAAGGGTATCTGAGGAAGTATATAAACTGGATTATGCACACCTACCTCCTGTGTCACTCAGATCTACTCACTATCTTTGAACACCTGGATCTCACACTATGATACTAGAAAAGACGAACTCATTTCCTCCACTTCTTTAATGTGGTGCCCAATTTCAATCTCCTCAAAAGATTTAAATGGGATTCACAAACTCAGTTACAGTCCCTGGTACTGTAGCTGATCCTGGAAACATAACAGATGTTCACCATCTCTTTCCCTATCATTCGTTTGAGATTTTCCTTACCTTTGGACAGCACTTTGGCTGTTCTAGGTTGCTTGCCTAGTGACCCAGATCTTCATTCCAGAGGGATCTGAGCCCTTAATTCCTAGCACTTGACAAGTCATGACTACTCCAATTGACCATTTACAATACATAAGAGTAGCAAAGGACACCACAGTGAACACCTGGTATCTAAATAAACTCTTTCCTTCCCGCATTGTGTGGTAACTCTGGGAAACAGGGTCAATTATATTCAGCAGTTCAATATATCCTTTCTTTTCCTGCTGGTTTGTTGGCATGGGTAGTCGAGTGGCCCTGTGGTAGTCACAGTTTCCTGTTCAGTTATCTCCTTTGGAGCTAGGACATTAAATCAGATAGATCTGAAGGTTGAGGGAATAGGAAGCACAAATTCTACAGATGGGTCATTGGGAGTGATGGAGTCAGGGGCTAACTCTACTTTCCAAGCTATGGCTCTTATACCCATTTATTCTAGCTATTGAGGACACAGAACCATATACCAGTCATTGGTTTAGTACAGGAGTAGGCAAACTTAATCTGTAAGAGGCCAGATGGTAAATATTTTAGAACTTGTGGGCCTTGTCATCTCTGTTGCAGCTACTCATGCCTACCACTTTAGTATGAAAGCAACCACAGACAATATGTAAACAAACTGGCATGGCTGTGTTTCAATACAACTTAATTTACATAATAGGCATTGAGTTAGATTTGGCATGCAGATGGTGGTTGGTTGACTCTTAATTTAATGTTTATATACCAACTCCTGGAAGTCAGTGTTTAAACTCCACGAGGTGTTGTCTGCAGGTTGGTATCTTAGCTGTGCATTTGAGCTTTTGAGCAATGATTCTTTCAGGTCACTGGCTTCTGGGTAATGGGATACACTGTTAGACCAGGGAAGCTTATGGCTATGGGGGCATTGTTGCCTCTTTATATTAAATGGCTGCCTTGGTCTGTGGCAATGTTGCATGGGATAGCATGGATCAGGTATTTTGTAAGTCCTGGGATGGTGATGCTGAAGGAGGCACTGTAGCCAGAGAAGGAAAACTAATATCTGGAGTTTGTAACAATTCCTTAACAGTAAGGACAAATCACTGTTCACTGTTCCTCCAGCTAGAAGATGTCTGATGCAATCAACCTCCCATTTAGTGGCTCACTCATCCTCTTGAAGAATGAAGCCATATAGAGGATTTGTGGTGGTGTCTGCTGGCATGTTGGGCACCCAACAGTGACAGTGGCTATCACCCTAGCTAGAGGAGACTCATATTGTTAACTTTATGCATAAACCCCATCTGTGCTGCCACAGATACTATGTTCATGGGTCCATTTCACAAGCACTTGGGTGACTGAGGGGAGAGGCTGACTGCCATCCACAGGATAAGTTATTCCATTCACTTGATTGTTTCGTGCCTCTTGTGTGTCAGATGAGTTCTGTGTGTTGATTTGAGGTATAAAGATCCACCTGTTTTGTAGCCAGTCTTATCGAAATATTCACATACATATTTCCCAAACTTCCTTTTTCCTAACCTTCTAGTCATGTGCCTACCAAACTCTCGACCAATTGTCCAAGCTGTTAACCACTACCCAGGAGTAAGTGTATACCCGTACCTCAATCTCCCCTCCCTGTGAGTAAGGTGAATATATGGTCATATATCTGCCCATCTGCTTCTCCTCTGTAGCTTTTCAGGGCCACACCAAGGTGAGTCTATAATGAGGCACCTAGGTCCTTTCCTCCTCTGTCAGTTGATTACAGGAATACCCGACTCCTTCCCTGTTGGGCCACTGTGAGATCAAGAAGAGGCATCAGTATAATTGACATAAGTGGCATGGATGTCTGGGCCTTCTTTAGAGATGTTTTCTCATACTCTCTTGATCTGCTTCAGCTTGGTTCTGAATGCACACCATCCACTGTACAATGAATCACTGTTCATCTGCCTGCATTTACAACTTTATAGATGCAACAACACCCAAACCATAATGGGCAGGTCAGGTAGCATAAGCCTTTGCTGTTTCATAGCCATACTCTCAGTCTCTATTCCTAGGAGCTTAAGCTTTCAAATGGAGAGTATTTCTCTGCTGCAGAGACGAGGGCATTGTTGCAGAATTCTAAGAGTTTGCACTGTGAATTTCCTAATGGGGCTTGTCAGAGACTCTACACACCATTGTTATCTGCTGTGGAGACCTCAGCACCACGGGATCTGCTAGGGCATAGAGACCAGGGATCCGTAGACCATAGGATCTATCTAGAGACCTGAAGTGACAGAGAAGTTTATACTAATTTATGGACCTGCTATAGAGCCTTCTCTTACTCTGTCTCCCCCATTAAAAGTAGAAGCCTTTGAATCACTCAATTAATGTGTCATAATAAGCCTCCTAAGGGCAATACATGCAGCCGTCAAAATCCAAAACATACAAACAAAAAAACTCACCAAATGCTGTGCTTCTTTTTTGTTGTTAGAAGTTGAAAGTTGGAACAAACTCATCCTTTCATTGGAGGGCAAGCTGTGGTATACTCCAGAACACTGGACCCCTAAAAACTTCACCAATGTGGCAGTCCACTGAATCATTATGTGATTTACCTCCTATCTTTTGGCTCACTTATAACTTGCCAGGCCACGTACAGTATCTGCCACCTCCTACTCACCCAGTCTGATTAGCATGATGTCTTTAATGTCGTGATCCGGTTTGATACCTGAGGAATGCCAAGATGATCAAGGTCCTTGCAGAATATTTTCAACAGACAGCTGGAGGGATATAACCTTGAGGTAGAAGGTGGTGAACTGCTGCCCTTACACGTAAATGTGAACTACTTTTGATCCTCTTTACTGATGGTGTAGAGAAGAAAGTTCACCAAATCAATAGCCACATACCAAGTTGAGGAAGACATTTTGTCTAGCTCCAGTCTCTGGAACAGTAGCCATGAATGGGGCCGGCATCTGGCTTGGATCTACATCTGCATCAGAAGTGTTGGAAGAAGCCGGAGTCATTGTGAGTCTGGATGGACCTGACACAGGTGCTGGGGCTACTATGGCTTCTGTCATGGTGGCAGTATTGGAGGCAGGTCTAAGTCTAGCCTTCACCCCAGCAGAATTTGAGATAGTGGGCCATGTTCGATACTGGTGTTGAGGTTTTCCAGTTTATAAGAGGCCAAGGCCCAAAGACCAGGTGGGGCTGAATAAATCTTGAGAGGCACCTTAACTGGGTCCAGTTTGCAGGATGATGATGAAATTAACTTTCAAAAGCTTAACTCCATAATATCAAAAGCTTAGCTCCTTTTGTGAAAACTTCATACCAGAGCACAGCACTCATAGCAGGATACTATCACTCCACTCTGGCAGGTGCCTCTTACAGCTACCGACATGTGTCTGAACACCACGTGTACTTGTCCACAGCAACTCCTCTTCTGCTAGCCACAGAATCTCCCTTTCTCCTCTGAGCCCTCAAATGATTATCATTTTTCCAGTAATCAGCAATATTCCCCATTAGCTGTTG